TTTTTTTTTTTTTTTTTTTTTTTTTTTGGTATTTCATTGCTTTAGGCAGTTGGATTGGAGACCTGAAAGGAGAGCCGGACCATCCCGAATGCGCCATGAGCGAGTCGTCATCCTCAAAAATATGTTTCACCCTTCAGATTTTGAGGTAGGAAATTGTGCCCTAATAGAGAAGCCAATATCCTTTCAAGGGTGCCTAAAGTTGCTTTGCTCCATCTTTGCCGTCACATTCTAGATGTTTGTGTAGGAGGTGAAGAAGGAAAATAGAGACATGACTGAATTTAAGTTCTGGAATTCCCTTTCTTTTTCCTGATATTCTTTTACCGTAATTGTATGCTAGGAAAGACTGTTTAATGTGTATACTGTGGCCCAGAACACAGCTGCCTACTATGGGGTACTGTTAAAAAATGTCATCGTTAAGATTGATGAGAACAAGCTTGTGGATTTTGGTGGAAAGACCAGTTTCACACTTTAAAATTAAAACTTCACTTTCTTTCTAAAGGTTTGATCCTTAAAAAAACATTAGCTTGGGCCAGGGATTTATGGCGTCTGCCTTGCCAAGCGCAAGGGCCTGAGTTCGATCCCTGGTACAAAAAAAACAAAAAAAACCCCTAGCTTAATGAAATTCAGCCTCTGATGTTTAAATAGTGGGTAGTGTTTTTTAGGACTTCATTTTTACAAAAACACTTTAGTAGCTATTAGGTCGTTGTAGTACTTAATATCCATGTACAATTTGTATAACAGCAAATAAAGGTGACTAAAGGAAGAAAACATATGACAGGATTTATTGACCACCAGTAGAGTCACTTTTGTAGTCACTTTGTAGAAATAGTTGGTCTTTCTATAAAGTTGCTTGATATTTCAAAGTGTACCAGTATAAATTTTTGTTATCCTATGTGGTAGACTCTAGCCACATAATTATTTACATTTAGATTAAGATTAAGTAAAATTAAAACTTCAGTTCTTCAGTTGAGCTAGGCTCCTGTAGCTAGTAGCTATTTATGTTGGAAAACACAGATATACAAGATTTCAAGTGGTCTATCAGAAATCAGATTTGGGGAGGTGAAGTATATTTTTATCCCAAATAGTTAACTAATACTAGAAGCAGCAGACCTAAAAAGAATCTGTGGTATCAAAGAAAACAGTGAAGCATAATATTTTAATGTAATTTCAGAGGATCTTCAGTTTTCAGTTCGGGGCCTTATTTAAATGCCTTCACTGCCAAATCTAACGAGATAAAGAATTAAAACTCAGATTCAGAGAGAGATTTCTCTTTGTGTGCATCAGCACTGTCAAATAGAAATATAATGTGAAGCACATGTGTATTCTTAAGTTTTTCTGTAGCCTTAAAAATATAATGTGAAACCAGGGAAATTAGTTTTAATGATGAATTTTATTTAACTCAGTATATCTAAAATGTACTTTCATCATGTAATGACCTGTATGAATTTTTTTCCTTTGGTACTAAATCTTAAAAATCAGTCTGCATCCATATGTAGAACACACCTCAGTTTGGACTAGCCACAGTTCACGTGCTCAGTAACTGCATGTGTTCAGTGTCTACCAGTTTAGCCAGCATAAGTTCAGATTTGAAAGGCATGAGAAGGATGGTTTATTTCTTGCATGGAAAACAAAATACCACCCTGGAAAAAATTCTAAGAGTTAACTGCAGAAAGTTGAAATGCTTGAGGCTGATTTTAATCTCAGGCATCACCTTCAAAGTCTAGTAGTATTCAGAAAATTGCTACCTGTAACTTGGTTAAAAGAATCTTTTGAAAGGAGAGGAATATTAACATTTAGCGTAAGGATACTATACAGCAATGTAATGCGTTAGTTTTCTAAGCTGAAATAAATGAAGCTCTGGGAAGACATAGATTCTGAGAAGATAGTGATATATCTTTCTGATACAGAAATAAAGATGATGCCCTTCTGTCCTGTGCCCTAATAAAGTCACACTTAAATTTAAATTTTGGCAAATGTTTAGAAGTCATACCTATTTGCTTTTGATATAACCCTTATTTTCCTAGGTGAGTAAAAGAGAGGCTTTTATTGATTGTTGAATATCTAATAAAATTCTGTGGTGTGCATAAGATTAATTAAAACAAAGGTCCAGCTGTCAGAAAGCACATTATCCTGTAGGATTTAACCAAACCCACACCACCAAAAGCCAGTGTATGACTACCAACATGTTTATGCTTCGCTCCCCATTTTTCTCAGTTCTAATTGTTCTTGTAAAATGAATTGGCTTCTCCGACATTAATTTTTGTAAGTAGGTAAATTTAGTCTGCCAGCTGTGATTTCAGAAACCTCAGATTTGTGCAAATGAATAAGATTTTATATTTTTTATTTTAAATCTGACTTTGATAACTGAAAGTTGTTTATTTCAGCTTTTTTAGAGAAATTTAGGATAGAAAGCTACCTCTTGGTTATTTACTGTAGTTCGTCTTTAGTTGGTGAGTAAAATAAAAACCTGTAAGGAATATACACCAAACTGTTTCCTAGAAAGTACAAGTTCACATCAATAAAATTCATAAATTTGTATTTGTTTGTAGTTGAAATTCAAGTTGATAATGAATCTTTTTCTGAGCTATTTTTATGTGTTGAGACTTAGAAAAGGTTTGTCAGTCCCTACTGGGAATCTTAAATACTTTTGTTATGAGAAGGAGTCTACCTGAACTGGAAACCACTAGAAACAGCAATGCTTGTTCTTCATTCCCTTTTATTTATAAGAAAGCAACTGCAAGAATTTGTTTTACTGTATGCTTAATACTTTGTGTGGTATGTCGTTCTTTTGCAGTATGGCAGGTGAAAAGTCAAACAGAATCCTTACAGAGTTTACCCTGTGCATTAAAATAGACTCTTGGAAGTATAAAAATCAATCTTAGTACACTTAATCAATGAAAGCACATACCTGTTTCTATTACACCATTTCTGTAGATGAAATCTTTTTACAACACAGCGAAATAAGTGTGATTATGATGCCCACACAGAACAGGAACAGCAGGCTCTAATGAAAGTGCTACAGGACTTCTACCCAAAGCTCCTGTTTCTTGGGCATTTGAGTCCCACTTCCCTTCCTTTTCCTTTGCCACTCTCTATGGCAAAACCCCTTCTGCTGTCTGTCATTTTTATCCATTTCCTTAGTCTTAGAGTAGGGCAGACATTTTATAGAAAAAATGGAATACTGCTCAGCCATAAAGAATGAGAAATTAGAGTCATTCATAGGAAAATGGATATATATTGATGATATACTCCTAAGTGAAATAAATAAGTTACACATGTGTAAATAGCAAATAGAATCTCTGGTGTAAAAAACTATAATAGTACACAAGATCCTAATGGGATAATTAATAGTGTGAAATAGGAAGAAAGGGGCTAAAGGTGTAGGGAAAGTGGAAAGGGTAGGGGAAAGGGAATAAGGGAAAAGAAAAAAAATATGAGAAAATGAAAAAATGGCAATAAAAATGTTTGTAAATGGGGAGGGAAGAGGGGCCGAAGGGAGGGCAGGGACAAGGGGGAAAAAATGAGAACCAAGACCTGTGAAGGTACAGGATCCCAGTAATGAATGTAACTGTATTGTATACCTAGATTGTACCAGTGAACTCAATAAAAAGAAAAAAAAAGAGTGGGGCAGACATATACTAGTAATAGTAGCTCTAACTTCATTTGATTTTGATTTTTCTTTAAATCTGTGAACCACAGACAAACTTAACCAACCTTAAGTGGAACCTTTTTTTTTTTTAATTTGTTGAATTGCCAGAACAAGAAATTTGATTCTTTGGGATTAAAAAGGGGGCAATCCCATTTTAATCATTTTTCTTTTTGCAGGATGATCCATTGGTGCTGAATGAGATCAGAGATGACCTTCGAGTAGAGTGTTCAAAGTTTGGACAAATTAAAAAGCTCCTTCTGTTTGATGTGAGTTGATAATATAGACAAAAGAATTCTAAAGCAATTAACATGCTTCTTCTAGCTGAATAAGTGATTGTCTGACATCAGTACACCTTCAATTTTGGATTTAATATTTTTTTATAGTAGGTCTACTAGATGGTAGTTGTCTGTCAACAGTAATTAGATGAACATGGTATACAGGTCAAGACTTTGTTAGATTTGGTATGCCTTACTCGTTTCCCTTCATTACTCTAGAGCAGTGTTGGCCAACCTGTGGCAGCAGCAGGGTGTTTGTATTGTTGAAAGCTATAAAAGTTTTGCCATCACTGCTCTATAGTATGTGCTCTAGAATATGTCAAAGAAAACAAATGAAAAATGCATGAGACTTCATGGTTCTCTGTTTGCCCTCATTTTCCTCTATGTGAATTATTCTCCTTTTTTTTTTGGAAGCAATTGGCAAAAATAGTTTCCTGCATATTTCCCCTTCTTATCCCTCCTCTGAGATTGACACACAGTAATTGTCACCATGTATTGCTGGTGTATTACAAGCTACTTTACCTGTTACCTCATTTAATCCTTATAAACCTTCTTGGTAGATTCCACTGCACACATGAAGAAACTGATACTTGAAGATAGAGTACTTGCTCAAGGTTCATTCCTCTGATAACTAACAGAGCCAGGATTCAAATACAGGGCAAATCTGACTCAGAGTTTTTGCTCTTAACAATTATGCCTCTTGCCTCTCAGGAGACATTGTTGTCACCAGAAATGTGTCCAAAGACATTGCACTTGGTTCTTATAGATAAGGTGAAGCTAAAGAAGCAGCTGACTGCGTGTTACTGGCTGGGAACAAAGACTTCATAAAGTCTTTTACTTCACTGTATCCAAGAGAACACTACTCCTTACCTACTTTCTCAAATTTATGTTTTACTTTTAATCTTATTGTTCATTCTTGTCTTTCTAGAGGCACCCTGATGGTGTGGCCTCGGTGTCCTTTAGGGATCCAGAGGAAGCTGATTATTGCATTCAGACCCTTGATGGAAGGTGGTTTGGTGGCCGTCAGATCACTGCCCAAGCGTGGGATGGCACTACAGATTATCAGGTAAATTCTGCAAGTGTCAGGGGCTCATGAATTATTTCATTACCAACAAACACTGATTTAGCAATCCTTCAGAAAGAAGTTTTGAGTTTTAATTTGTTTAATGTAACTGTACTTCTTTTGAATAATACTTTGCATTTAGAGGAAGAAAGAAAAATGTTTCAGTATTTTAGTTGATTAGTCTGAAATTTTGAGATTTGCTCAGAATTGAGATGACACATTGAAGCAAAATGTTCTCTTCCATTCTATGTTGTGTAGAGCTCAAATATTTATTTGATAAGAAATGAGGCATTTCTGCAGTATTGTGCTATTTGCATTTAATTACATGATAATTTAAGTCAGCAAATCAAGATGTAAAGTTTTGAGAACTGAAAACAAGTAATTGTGTTTCCTATGAAGAGCTTCCTTATAAACTCAGGGTACTTTCTTCAGTATTAGAACTGAGGTTATTGCTTCTTTTTGTCTAAAACTCATTTTAATGGAAGATTATACTTATTCGCAGGTGGAGGAGACCTCAAGAGAAAGGGAGGAAAGGCTGAAAGGATGGGAGACATTCCTCAATGCGCCTGAGGCCAACAGAGGCCTTCAGCGTTCCAGTTCTGTCAATGCTTCAGAAATGGCAGGGCCTTCTAGAATGAGGCATTTTTCAGAGCCCCAGAGCACACTGAAAATGAATGCTCAAGAAGCTGAAACTGGAGTGGTATTTGAAGAACCTATTGATGAGAAGAAGTTTGAAAAGATAGAAGATGGAAGAGAATTTGAAGAAGATGCTTATGGAAAAGAATTTGAAGAAGATGCTTATGGAAAAGATACTAAAGGAGACGAGCTTGAAAAAGAGAGCACAGAAGACTGCCCTGAAAAAGAATCTGAAGAGGGCTGCTCCAAGAGAGAGGCTGGAGGAGACTGCCCTGAAAAGGAGTTTGAAGAGGGTAGTCCTAGAAAAGGGTTGAAAGAGAATGGCTCTGGAAGAGAATTGAAGAAGAGACTCAAGAAAGACGATAAAGAGAACGGCCTTGCCAATGAGTCTGAAGATGATGCTGATAAGGAGTCTAAAGGGGAGGGCAGCTCCAAAAAAGAATCGGAAGAGGATGACTCCGAGAAGGAATCTGATGAAGACTGTTCGGAAAAACAGTCTGAAGACAGATCTGAAAACGAAGTAGAAGAAAATGGTGTCAAACAAGATTTTGATGAGGATGGCTCTGACCGGGAGTTCCCCGAAAACCTTCTTGACAAAGAGTTAGAAGACAGTGACACTGACAAATCAGAATTAGAAGGCTCCGAAAGAGTTTTAGATGTGGAAGACTCCGAGAGAGAGTTTGATGAAGAGTCGGATGAAAAGGATGAAGAGGAGATGTATGAAAAGGTTTTTGATGATGAGTCAGATGAGAAAGAGGATGAAGATGCAGGTGGAAAAGGGCATGAAGATGCTGAGGTAAAAGAGGAAGAAGATGACAAAGATGAAAAGCTGTTTGAAGACTCAGATGAACAGGAAGATGAGGAAGATGCAGATGGAAAAGAAGGCGAAGATTTAGATGAAAAGTTTTTTGAAGATGACAACTCCATTAAGTTTGATGATGATAGTTCCTTTGAGAAGATATTTGATGATTCCGATGAGAGGGGGACTCTGGGGAATGTGCAGGAAGAGGGGCCACTCTCCACAGGCAGCAGCTTTGTTCTCAGCAGTGATGATGACAGTGATGATGATGTCTAATCTAAGCTTACTTTCTAGGGTGAGTCTCCATCTGCATTTGCCTGTGCTTCAGGGTCGTTGCTAGTAGTGTTATGTGAACATGCGTTTAGTGGTAGGATGCTGTCAGATTAATGCATCGGTTTTTTTATTGTCTCCTTTACCTAATAATTTTAAATGTATGTTACTTGGCTGTTCAGGCAAAGCTGTTATAATGCAGATAAACTGGATACTTGTCCTTTTGTCAAATTTGTTAAATGCATGCAGAATAATATTTTTAAAAGTATTCTGATTGAAGTTTGTGATACTCAAAAATAAAAGTTGAAAATATGCTGAAACTGAAAATTAGACGAGTTAAATTTCATTTTATTGTTTTGGTTTTTTTTTTCATTTGTTTGTTTGATTTTTAAGAAAGAGTCCCACTGTGTAATTCAGGCTAGCCTTGAACTCACTATGTTGCCCATGCTGGCCTCAAACTTCATGGCAATCCTCTTACCTCAGCCGCCCAAGTGTTGGAATTACAGGCACCATCCCCAGCTAAATTTCATTTTAAATATTCCCTTAGGAGTTCTCTTATTCTCGATTTGTGTTACAACTTCTGTCCCCATTTCAACATGCTAAATCAGAACATGTTCCTTAACTCATAAAGAATATTTGCAGTCCTTGCAAATTATTATTTTTTCTACCCTCCTTCCATTAAAATTGACTTAGATATATAAAAATAAACTTCCTGTGGTCCACACCTTCAGTTATTTGAAAATATAGAGATGACAGTTCCTGCATGTACATTTCGTAGCCTCTTTTTACCCCTTTAGTAGGTGATCAAAGTTATGAGTGCAGAGAGATGCACGTACGTTCTATACCTTCCCATATACACTTGGGGATATTCATGAATCCCCTGAAGACACACTTCATGTTTGTTTGTTTGTTTTAGGGTCATAGTGCCTACTGTTGTGCAATGTTGGATAATTCCAATAAAATGTGGGTCTTTTTTATTGTGCTTTTCAAATTCAATGTTGCTGAATTTACTGATGATGCTGCTGTAGGAAGTTATTCTTAGAAGTTAAACTGAATTGGTGCTGCTCCATTATAGTGTCTCTAAGTGTGTATTCATTGCCCTGTTCAGACAGCAGTTACTATATTTTGATTTTTGTTAGGAAAATTTTTTAGTGTCCAGGATTAATTAAAATCTTCAGAATTTTTACCAGGTATGAATGATCAAAGGTGGAAAAAGTTAGATAAAGAGAAACTGCAAACCAAAATAGTGTTTCCTTCAAAGATAATCATTTAACACTGATTCATTGGAGAATTTGGTTTTCTGCATGAAAAGATCCTTTACCTTCTGCACTCAGTGGTTGGGACACAACTGAAACATACATTAGCTCTACAACCATGAGAAGGAGGCCATTTCATTCTTTACATTAAAATTATAATTTTGGAAATCCACAATCTCAAGACTAGTATTTCAGGTATTAACCATTAGTAGTAACTCAAGGACGTTTGGATATGGGAAATACATTCAAGTAGCAAACTCACTATTTGGAGGTGCTGCATTGTTAAAAAGCATTGCCAACTCTGGATGGCATTAGAGTGTGTGTGTGTGTGTGTGTGTGTGTGTGTGTGAAGTGTTTTGATTATGGGATTGCTGTTCTATTCTCTGACCAAATCTTTTCCCCCCAGCTCTAATTTCGTTAATAACAAATACACTTTTTTCAACACATACACAAAGTGAAAGTCACAAACAGCTGTAAGGTGATAACTTAGGAGGTGATAGAAATGAAGCAACAAAGCCCTCATGAATATAGGAGTCAACCCAGTCTATTTGGTAACCACTACTTCCTGTTCTGAGTGCGATCTATTTTCCCCTTGTAAATTATTTTGTCATTTCTAAAGTGTGGATAGAAAGTGGGAATTAGTTAATATTCGAATTAAAGTGGACCCTCAAGAATGGCCTGACATACAAACAACTTGGGTTACAACCAGAATTTTAGTTTTACCTTAATGACCGAAGTATGACCCAAATACTGGCCACTTGTGCTTCCAGATGGTCTCAGATACAGACAACACTTAAAAGAGTTGTGGAAGGAACATTACAACATCCCTTCCTGTGGGATTAATTCAGAAATCCTAGGCCAGTGCCTCTAAAGACACAGATCTGCCTGTGTACAGGAGAGAGACTTTCAAGGCTGTATAGAGGAGTCTGAGCCTGCAGTGACCAACTTGAGTTACAACCCGCCCTTTCAAATTGAGTTTATAAGTCAAGGGTCCATTGTATGCCTTTCAAGTTACGTGAAACTTAGTTTTTATTTCATTTTTATGAGTACATGTTTGCAGTACATAACGTTTAACTTGTGTGGAGTTGGTACATGTACATAACATGTCTTAATTCCTTTTTTCATTCCCTTTCTCTTTCCTTCCCCCTCCCTCCATGTCTTGGTCTCCTCAATCTGCCTCACATTTGCGAAATGTGTCTTCCTATTTCTTAACTGTTAATTTTTTTTTTGTCTGTGTGTGTGTGTGGTTTTTTGAGACAGGGTCTCACTATGTAGTTGAGACTGGCCTGGAACTCACTATGTAGCCCAGGCTAGTCTCGAACTCACAGCGATCCTCCTGCCTCAGCCTCCCAAGTGCTGGGATTATAGGTGTGTGCCACCACGCCCGACTATTATCTGTTAATTTTGCTCTTTATTTATAAAAAATACTTGAATGAATCTATTCTCTCGCTCTTTATGGCTGAGTAATATTCCATTTTATAGAAAAACCACATCTTCTTTATCCAGTTTCCAACGGATGGGCAAATAGGTTGTTTCCAAGATTTAGCTATTACAAACTGTGCCGCTATAAACATGGGTGCACATACTTCTCTGTGATATGATTCATAGGAAAATGGATACATATTGAAGATATACTCCTAAGTGAAATAAATAAGTCCCACATGTGTAAATACCGAATAGTTTCCCTGGTGTGAATATTCTGCAACAATGCATAAGATTCTAATAAGATTACTGACGTTTAGAAATGGGAGGAAAGGAGCTAAAGGTGTAGGGAAGGTGTGATACGTAAGGGAAGAACAAAAAGGGAAAAGAAAAAAATGTGAGAGAATTAAAAGATGAAAATAAAGTGTT